AATACTATTTTGTTTCAAAATCAAATTGTTCAAATCTGATGCGACATGACACACCTGACTATATTGTAATCCTTTCCATCTTCATGAGTAGCAAACACTTTTTTGCCCCAAAGAAACCACTTTCAATACATTCACACTTTCAAACTTCACAGACCTCAAATTTAAAAAGAACATACTGCAATACAACAGCTTCAGTCTGTTTGTTTCATAAGGAAGGTCCCTGAAACATACAATTGACTCATCTCAATGATTAGAATGCCTGACTCAAATTACAACCATTATACAGATAGTTATCCTTTACATTGACTCATTGCTTTTGGCAAAGTGAACACTGGATCTGAGTTTAAGTTTAAGACAGCAAACTTTCCTTCTACATATTGTAGGTACTCCAATACGCTTTATCCAAATCATGATCATTTTTATGTCGAGACTACAGACAGTTCTGACAAGTCACTCACATTGCTCAAGGTTTAACTACATTTTTGTTTCCAAAACAAAGTAAATTTTCTTTATCTCAGCAAAAGTGACTGGTATGAACTTGCAATGTGCTTTCTGATTAAATGCAAGACCTTGACAGATAAAAGTGTGTCCTGCCTCAATATAAACACTACCAGACATAAAACCAGGAGATCAGAAGAGGTCGAATCAGTGTGCCTGAAAAGTCTCAATTGTCAGCCCGCGAAACGCATGACTGCAGCTGTGGAACAAAAACAGGTGTGGAGTATATTGCATTCCCAAGAGCCTGAAAGACAAGGCCAATAGACAAGATTGTTGACTTGGTAAAGCCGGCAAAAGCAATAGAAAACCTGAAGGTGACAAATCCAACACTGCTTATTTGGATTTTTATGTTCAAAAATCGACCCTTTTCTGGACAATATATCAAATGGACACTTCAAAAAGGGCTTATGCAAGCTGCTAAAAGAGTTGAGAGAGGGAAATCAAAATAAGAATACTTCAGATTTGGAAAGTGAGATGATGTTCTCATCCCATCAAACGCTGATCAGACTCTCACAGGAGCCTAAGAATATACCTCAACATTTGGAAAGAAAATACAATAATCTTCACTGCACAGTGAACAACCGGTGCCCATTTCACAGCATTATCCCATACCAACATGAAGAAGGCGTTTCCGAACACTATCAAGTGAGCAAATATGTCCGAAACTGAACGACAGGATTGTAATCAAAGCACGATCGTGTCTTTAACAGCCTATAAACACGAATCGACCTCAGTGGTTTTGATCTTTTAGAGTGCATAGCTCTCTAGTTATAAATAATTAGCTAGTCAGTCTGCTTTAAATGACCGGCCGCTTGTTAAATATCACGCAAAATCCCTATCAACTTAGTAATGCAGTGTTTAATTGGGTTTCTTACCTCTCTCGATGGTTCTCGGGTCCAGGTGGTTCGTTTTAAGCAGCTAACCTTGTACTTGCAGGCGACCCAGCTAGCCAGCTAACTCAAACGCTTCACTATCGGACTATTTAAACCGGTCTCGGCTTTGGAATACAATCCGCGTATGAATAGTGACGATTTTTCCGATTGAAGTCACACCAAAATCCCCGTTTATGAGATAATTAGCAAGCCGTCTGACGGTATGTCAGCATTGCACTGCTAGCAGGAGCTCCCCGTACAGCTAATCCGTTAGCTGCCGTCCCACCCTGCACCAAAAGCCACATTCATACACATTCACTGACCGACTACATACCCAGATGTTGGTCACTAAGGTAAGAATGTTCTTTATCCTTACTGCTAAACTCACTAAGCGACTAACTGCTAACCTGTTATCACAAGTATATGTTAGCAGGCTGTGCTAGTGCTCTGTGCCAATTTTTTCCTGGCTCAAAACAGACCGCTAAACCAAGCGTGATGAAACGCTGGTTTATGCTGTTAGGCCAATGATTGGCTACTCGCTGCACAACGAGCGCGTGGATTGGCCAGTGGACTGTCAATCAAAAACTGTTTAGGCACGCCTCGAAAGTCAAACGTCATTGATGTCGAGGAGCTATGGAGGTAGGTTGCGGCGTAAATGTCTGAGATGGAGATTGGATGAAGACAAGGACCAGAAATGCCCGTATGGCGAGAAATGTCACCCGAGTTGTGGTCCCCTCGGACTCCTCTGTTTGCCTCAAATGAGTCGCATGACTCACATTACAACAAAGTAATTATGCTTATAAAGCCGTAGACTACTAGACAAACGATTCCACTATCGTCTTCTATTCTTAGAAAAGGATTTGGGGGATTTTTCCCCTCTTAAATTACTGAGTCCTCGCTTGGAACACGGTGTTACATAACTTGAATGACACTGACCAGTGATGATGCTTCTTTTCGTTCATTTTCATTCACCCTTCCATCCATTAGTTCTCGTTTCTCTCAGCTGAGCCAATTTAATACTTCCGTTGGAATTATTTCTTTTACTAACATGCCGTTAAAAGAATGATTAATTAGTTGGCTATATAGTTATATATAGTTGTAGTCTCTGGACCAATTAACATTTTGAGTTGTGCTGTACAGTAGGCTATATTGAATCTCGGCCATGAACTTTTTCTGAACTATGTAACGAGCATAAATAAATCCCAGTAAACACGTTTAGACATGGGAAGACAGTTTTAAGTATATAACTCTGACTGTTCAATGGCCTTTAGTGTTTAGTGCTAATGTTTGGTACGAATAGGTGCTTTTGAATGAATCTTTTAAGTGAACAGAGGATTCAATTTCCCTAACGAATCTTTTTTACTTGCTTAAATTCTTTCTTTTCCATTTTTATTTTATTTATTTATTTATTTGTAGTAGTAATACAATATAATATATAAGAAAAATAAAGAATCGGTTAAGTGAAAGATTCACTCACAACACACAAAAGATACTCACTAGACGCCACCTACTGGTTTAATGATGCAGAAAAGGTTTCTGCGCGAATCATAGAACAAATCTTTTTGGAGAACGGATTCAAAAGATTCGAGTCACTGAATCAAAATTGCCATCACTAATGACTTTTGTAGATCAGCTTTTATAAAGATCAGCTCTTAAACTGTTTTTGCAGTGAACTACACAATTTGAACATAATTACATAAATATTTCAATTTTCAGTACTTGAGAAGAGTTCATGGAGAATCCATTCTACTGTACTGTTCTCCACTATGTACTTTGTACGTACAACCACAGGATGGCGATAGAGTATCTTAACTTTGTTCCTGCCATTCTCAGTACGAGATGAACTCACTGAGCACGGTTCAGTTCAACATTCTAACCGGGAAGATGACAAATAAAATGATCATGATGCTTTTTTTTTCAGGTCCGGTGTAAAAAGTATAAATATTCCATGTAGTTTTTAATTATTGTGAGGTCATAAAACTGCATTCATTTTTTAGATTAAATGGGTTTTTATTATTATTATTATTTTATTTATTTTTTGTGAAAAATAAAAACTGCAATACAGAGCCTAAATATGTGTATTGTACAATTAGCTATAGTGTGGAAATATATGTGTGGTAGGTAATAAGCAAGGTCCTCTAGCACTTACACAGTGGGTTAAAATCAATACATGCAGAAAGTAGACCTTTGTCCAAAGAGCTGACAAATTGAGAAATGAGTATGTGTGCCTCTGAACCTTGCTGGATCAAGGGAACTCAAGCACACACACTTACAATGATAAGGGGAAACACTGCAAGCCAAGCATTTAGTTAGTCATAATAATCAAAAAGCCATTTTCACAAACATCATGCTGTAATATAAAATGTTCATACTGCTCTGATCACTTTGTAATGGAAAAAAAATACTCATTTCAGATGACAAGAACACAAATACAGTGGTAATTCATACTGTTTTATTCACGTTAATAATGAGAACAGAAAAATTGCAAGAACATTGCAGACGAGGAGCCATAGATTACAGATACAGCATGTGTGAGTTTAGATGACCGTGAATGGCTCAAAGCTCAGCACTGGTAAGGCGTACAAGCTTCATTCATAATGCATTTCCTTGCAGGAAACCCTAAAACATCATCCAGCCATCTGTGATATGATATCCACTTTAGCTCAGTGCACTGTAAAATAAAACAGCTCATCATTCAGTTATGGTACATTTACTATTTGCACAACTGATCACTATTGAATATATGCACAACTGTAAAGAAGTCAATTACATAACCAACAATGAGTTTTTGCAAATAAACGTTATGGATGTGTGACAATATTTTCTATATCATTTGCACCATCAAAACTGTTTACAGAAAGACAGCTGTGGTGTCTTGTGCCTAGTTGGAGGATAAAGTTGCGCTGAAGAAATAAGGATGCAAGGCACTGGGGTTTCTGAGCAGTGAGCAATGAATGTATATCAGAGATCTGTCTTCTCTTACTGGCTTTACAACATTTCCTTGTGAAACTGAACACTAACAAAATACACTTCAAGAACAGAATACTAGTTCAATGACAGACAACATATCAACTACCTAAGTTAATACTGATAATTTCTTACAATCAGAAAACACGTTGGATTTACTGTGGCCATGTTGTCATGCCCATAATGATATTTAAATAGATAAAACTGCAGTGAATTCAGACAAGTGGACAAAGCAAGGATGCTCAGTCATTCTATGAAATGAAGCCACACTTAGTGTGTTCCTGGAGAAAGAGGATTTCAGTGCATCTCCTCCAAACTGCTGACAGTACGGGATAACATGGATGTCTTAACGCAGTCGAATGGAGAGACATGCAGAACACCTGCAGCACAGTCTGCACTACACAGCTCTGAATTTTAATATCTCAATTTAGCCTAAGGTTACTAAAAGAGACAAAAATTAAAAATCATCATGTCATCATTTACTCACCTTCATGTCATTCCAAACCTGTGAATTTATTCTGTGATACACAAAAGAAGATTATAAAAAAGTTTCAACAAAGTCAATGGGTTTCTTTTTTTTGACAAAGAGGTTTGAAACATGAAGGTGAGTAAATTATGAATTTTGGGTGAACTATCCCTTTAAGAACTAGAAAGGAAATGAGAAGCACTAACAGAAATATTACAAAAATCCAATAGTAATTATTTAAATTAAAAATATCAGAGTACTGAGCTATTTGCACACTGCATAAATCTTACTCCCTGTAGTAATTTTTAAAAACATATCTGACATATTTATAAATAATACATTGACAAAGACAATGTTAAAGATATGCTGCATTCATATTCAGGTTGGTATTTTCCTAGCTTGGGTTTCAGAGCAACACATCTACTGGAAGTTCCTGTATACAGCATTCATACTGACAGGAAGTTCCCTCCCCTCATGCTCTCAATGCATTACCGCTTATTGTGAGGCGTGAGCTCAACCTGTTTTTAGACAAGAGCAACTTTCTACACCTCTCAGATTTTGGAGTGTCTTCCCTGAACCACTGAATGAACCATTAGGGCCACAGCACTGATCTGGAATGGACCCACGAGAGAAGAAACAAGCCCTAGAAAGAACAGAGAATTACAAAATGTTATGAGAACGAGCCCTTGAGAAAAAACAATGACAAGGATACAAATGTCTGACAAGGGTGTTCACTCAGGTCAGTTTGCTTCAGAAGGATGAAAACAGATGGGAAGGGCAAAAAGCCTGTACAGCGAGAAACAATCCTGCGTATTGTTGAGTGAGAGAAAACACAAGAGTCCAGGATGGGTGGATGTCAGTCTGCTGAGGGAAAACCACTGAAGACAAATGCAGGAAACATTTGAAACCTTTTTGGGTGTGGCTATAAACATCACTGTTCAAGAGTCATGAGCTTTGAACAGGTCCTGAAGATCATGACATCACACACAATCACTTTCAAGCTGTCCGATTACCCACCGTTGGCAGCAAATGTGCCAAAAACCCTATTCAAATGTATCCGTTTGATAAAATCTGTAAACAAAACAAGTGAAATAAATTAGCATGGAAATGGAGCTGGTGAAATGATCAAAATCATGAACGTGTTTGCAACCAAAAGGCTTCTCCAAGTTTGTTTTGACTACAACTGTGGACCTTTACTAGTCCAGGTCATGTATAGGTTAAGCTAGGATAAAAACCGGATAATAACAAGACTGAACGGAGGGATTTTCTTCAGGATAAGCCAAGGAAGCCAAAGAGAAGTGGCACCAGGAAAACGCAGCAGTAAGCCACTGTGCCGTAGACCATAAACCGGTACGCGAGTTCCACGTGCGCGTGTTGTCTAGCCTTCCGCACGTCATCCAAAGGAACGCCGAAGATCTTGCACGCCAGTGGGATCGCCACCACCTTCATGGCAGCCCTGACGGCTAGAAGCACGGCCACTCCTACCAGGAGCCGCATGATGGAACGGGTCAATAAGGCCCCGTCGATCAGGGGCAGAGTGAGTGGGAGAGCTTCTTCGGGGGGATCTGGCTGCAGACCCAGTTGGTGGTTCAGGCGGGATGCCAACGCGGCTCCGGCAGCTGTGGCCAACGCTTGGGCCGTGTCGCCACGGGAGGTGCTCCATGAGTCCAGCGAGAAGGCCACCAAGCTGAAACCAACATGCAGAAGCAGGATGACCAGAGGGGCATAGCTGTGGGACAGGTAGAACGTGTCGATGTCATGCAGCATGGGCTGAAGGACCACCAGGATGAGCACACTGTAGAGGAAGCCTGTGATCACCTCCTGTGAAGATGAAGGCACAAACTTATTAGATTTTATTATTGAAGGGATTCTCTCGAAAATTTTAATTCTGTCATCATTTAGTCACCTTCATGTCATTCCAAACCCATAAGACCTTCGAAACACAAATTAAGATTTTTGTTAATGAAACCTGAGAGGTTTCTGTCCCTTAAACTTCTTGTTTCACACCGATTCATTTTGTGACAGCTTTGACCTTTTTGTATCTTTAAGTTTTGGTTACCTGGACTTTCAATGGAGGGATAGAAGCTTCTCAGGTTCCCTAAAAATATCCTAATTTGTGTTTCATAGATTTAGTCTTATGGGTTTGAAACGACATGAGAGTGAGCAAGTGATAACAGAATTTATATTTTTTGGGTGAACTATCCCTTTAATGATACTCTATTTTCCAGTAGCCCTTGGGTTATTATGATTCAAATTAGGAACCATTAAGTCAAACATGTTAATATTGTTCACACATGGTGTAATTTTTAGACAAACTTCCATTTAAATTGTCATTGTTTATTCACTACAGGCCAGGCAAACACATGAAGGTTAGTGAAAACGGGTATTGCTTTGCATGAGAAAGGTGGCGTTCAAGCATCAATGATCTGTATAAACAGTGTATGAGTCATTATGGAAACAGGACTCCTTTGTGTGTAGAATTAACAAAAACATTCACCCCAAAATGAAACATTGCAATGTATTTATTAACTATACAAAAGGTCTTGGTTACCATAACATGTCGAAACAGACCTGAGAACAGGCTGGAAGAATATAGCAAGTAGATCTGATAAAGAGGTATTATTTATGTAGGTTTTACGCACACTTTAGCTGCTTTATGTTTGTGCATGGCACAAAAGTTAAAAGTCGATGTTCAGGGCATCTCTCCATTTTATGTGAGGTTTCACAGACAGCAGATGTCCAAGTCTTTGCTTCCAGCTCACTTTTTGTGGAAGACATAGCAAGAGTCATATGGAGCACTTTATGTTACTTTTAGGGTGCTTTTGCCTCATATTTGCTTGACAGTGTCAATTTCATTATGATACAGAGTGGCAAGGATATTCTTCACAATTTCCTTTTTTTCTTTTGTTCCACAGAAGTAAGTGACAAGGATCTGGAGAGGCACGAGGCAGTAAATTATCTATTTTGTCCCTTTTCGTCTGATCAGGCACATTCAAGGTTAACAAGATTAGAGACTTTGGACACCTCACGAGAACACTACAATCTGATAGTCTTTATGAGATAAACTTATGCAGTTATGTACTTTAAAATGGGCACAATCCTAAACTGTCAAACAGCCCATCACGGGCTCAACAATAAGGAGTTTTTGATCCTGGCTTGGTTGGGTTTCTAGTCCAGATTGGTCCAGATTTTCACTCACCTTGCCAACATTTTCACACAAATAAGAAATATTTTAGCAACATTTTTTTTCTCAATGTCAAAAAGTGTCCAAATTCACCTGAATTCACCCTATGTATTATTTTAACCATAGACATTACAAAGGGATAGTTTAATAAATCTCATTGGTTCTCCCGTATTCAGGCAAACGTGTTTTTGAGCTTCCACAAGAACTGACGAGTTTAGTTCTTGTGCATCAAGTACAGTTGACTTGATCATATTTAATGAGCTCTATGCACCTTTTGAACAGTCAAAGTTCTGGTTCCATGGACTTTCAATGGAAGGATATAAAATATCCTTCCTATATATAAAAATATAATATTTGTATTTTGAAGATAAACAAAAGTATTATTGGTTTGGAATGACATAAAGGCAGGATGTCTTGCAAGCAAGACACTGTAAAAAAGCTAGATATGATCTCTCTGCCTGTGTACAACCAACAATTTTTTAAAAAGCTTTATAATTAATTCAAATTAAATTAATTCAAATTACATTTTTTAACTGACAGCCCTATTTTTAAAACATTTAGACATGAGCTATAAAATAATTTTATGATTATAGCATGTGCAAAAAAAATTGCATGTGATCAATGAACCTAAGATACAATTTTGTCTAATGTCCAAGCTCAGACTGGCCTGGGGTCATGATCGGACCATCCTTAACGCTGAGCCCTGGTCCACAGACTTCACACAGTGTACAATCTAGACTTCCTAAATCATTGGGTGTGCAGATTTCCACAAAGATGATTCAGCCACCTTCTCTGAAAGCACAGCATTAAAATAACAAGGTTCCCATCACCTAGGCAACTAGCATCTGCTTTCTTAATCTGTCCCTTCTCACCAGCAGCATTTAAACCAATAAAGACACACAGCCTTTGCAAAAAATAACAGGTGCAAGAAGTCATTTGTAATTGTTACTACATGTGCAACCTGCAGCACTGATGACTAACACACAGCATGTCAATCATGATGACTAATGTAAAGCTTGCGTTTCAAACTATCTATCGGCCTCTGTCTGCTCAACACATCAAAATGATCACCAATGGCTCATACAAGCCCAGGGGAAGCAATTATCCAGTCAGAGATCTTCTGTGAGGAAAAGCATTGAAAACAGATGAGCATTTGAAGATCAGAGGATACTGAGTCAGCCGAGATGACTCACTGATTTGTTTCGTTACTGACAGAAGAGGGTTGCAAAAGACTAAAGCAGCATATATTAAGCTTCTTTTTGAACTGCTACCAAAACCTTAGACACGAAGCAGCAGGAAAGTTCCTCAACTTCGAAACTTGTGGACAGAGCAAGTTATAATGGACAGCTGAATGTGCCTGAACTGCATAAAACATATTAATATTCTCTGAATAACCATTACAGCTGGTTATTCTAACAGTGCAATGGACTGAAACGGTTATGCTTCTTAAAGGGTTAGTTCATCCAAAAATGAAAACTCTGTTTCATTTACTCTCCCTCTATTTGTTCCAAAACCTATATGTTGATGATCCCTTAGTTTAAGGCAATAAGAAAGAATTATTAAATGTGATGAAAACTTTACTCACCAGGACAGAGTGCATGCCCATGTAAATCCTGCTGATGCACACGAGGACACTCCAGAACAGAGCGATGCTCAATCCAAACATGAATGGGTACTGTTAAACAAAGAGAGGAAAGACTTGAGGAATTGCAGTAAGGTAATTTCTTAAAACCAGTTAAAACTAGGGTTATTAACTAAAACCAACACCATAAAAAAACAAAATTGGTAGTAAAATAGATGTTAACTGAAATGAGAAAAAAAAAAAAAGTTTTATGTCAGCTAGTTGCCAAGGCAGCATTTTTTCATTTTATTGTTTAACTTGATGTACTAAAATAACTAACACCGAAATAAACATTTATAAAAACTATATATACATATTTACAAAAAATAATAATAAAATGCCAAAAAACTATTTTACTACAAACTGAACAAAAATTTAAATGAAAACTAAATTATACTAAAATAACACTGGTTAAAACACATGATCTAAATTTCTACAGACTACAAAACTCAAAATATTATACTTAATTCAAACAGTGTACTGTTCAAAAGCTGTTGTAGATGTTTCTAGAGCAGCAAATCAGCATATTAGAATGATTTCTGAAGGATCACGTGACTCAGACTGAAGTAATGACTGCTGACAATTCCGATTTGTCATCACACGACTAAATTGCATTTTAAAACAAAGAAAGAGACATTTTAAATTGTAATAATATTTCACAATATTACTGTTTCTACTGTTTTTAAACACATAAATGCAGCCTTGGTGAGCATAAGAGAAATGTAAAAATCCTAATCTCGGTAGTGTTAGTGTATGTATATCATAATCCAACCTTTATTCTTTATCCAAGAATGTAGTGTTTCTTCACACCATCACACGACTAAATTGCATTTTAAAACAAAGAAAGAGACATTTTAAATTGTAATAATATTTCACAATATTACTGTTTCTACTGTTTTTAAACACATAAATGCAGCCTTGTAAGAGATAAGAGAAATGTAAAAATCCTAATCTCGGTAGTGTTAGTGTATGTATATCATAATCCAACCTTTATTCAAGTGGTATCCAAGAATGTAGTGTTTCTTCACACAAAAGAGAAAGCTGAACTAACTGTTTAAAACAGGAATAAAAAAAGCGTATTATATAACTTTTAACAAATTAACAAATTAAGCAACAGTATCAGGACAGAGCTGGACGAAATACCTTATGAGTCCATCAAGGATTGAGACCACCAGGCACACGGTTAATGTAAATTCATATATTTGATGAATTCCTGAACATACTCTAATACTTCAGAGGCAGACCAAGTGCAGTTGCAAGAGACGTGGATCGAAGTAGCTGCTGATCTGCAGAAATGCCTCTGGATTTCTCATCATTCAGACAACAGATCTATTCGTTTTTGGCATTCAGCTGAACTTTCCTTTTGTGCTCATGCATTTATTTGCTCCAGTAGTCTGGGCAATATACCAGTACCTCCCACAATCCCATCAACATTGACTACTCTGTGTGTACATTAAAAATTTGAGCTGACTTGACCTCACTGCTTCTCCAGCAACTTCCAAAATAAAGCTTTAACGCAAATTTTCAGTTTCCCATAGAAAAAAAAAGAGGTAAATTTCCTCATACATCTAGACTTGTTTGAATATACAGAAAATCAACAGGCCAGAGCAATGGTGAAAGAAGAGGAAACATGTTTGAGGCTATTGTTCCTAGTTTCCTGTTAAATTTAAGCAGATATGAAAGCAAGATAATAAACTATAGGGACTGTGTTCCGTTTTGTGCTCAAAGAGCTGGATAATACTTTCAGTCTTCAGTAGGTACACGGCACATTATCAGTCAGTTTCGGCTGACTTCAGAAAAACTGCCGGGGGAAAATGAATAAGAAGTCCGCCATGAGAATCTGTCAAAAGCAAAAGACCAAGAAAAGCTTCTACAGAACTAGATCAGATCCCTGTCGTATATTTATTTATGATTTAACGCCATGTCAGCAGCAGTGGCTATATTCATGGCAAGAGGAAACATTTCAATTTCACAATTCAGTCGTATAAATCATTTCAAAACAATTTTGTTTGAAAATTATATATATAAATAAATATGTACAAATATACAAAAACACATATAATAAAAATAATAACAAGAACAAAAGTAATAAGAACAATTATATGGAGTCTTTCAGCTTAATGCATGACAAAAATGTGTCCCTGTCGTATATAATATGTGTATCAAAAAGAATTATAGCACAACCTCTTCTGACTATATGCTAATTGTTGTTGAAAATAATGACTTCTTTGACACCAACAAGAATATGATTCTGATAACTCAGCAGAGAAATCCATATTTATGAATAATACAGTGCACTGCACAAACCTTTAGTGGTTAAGTAAAAAAAACCTGCATATTTTGCAAAAAAACGATTAATGTCCTGTCTGGAAATGCATTCACTGGGAATCTTGATTTCCAGATGAGCTAGTTCTACAATAATATGGAGAAGTAAAACAATTTTGCAATGGATGCAACAGACTAAGGACAGATGACTTTTGAGATCTGAAAATCAATATTTTGAGCACCAGTGAATAAACGTCTCTTTAAAAGAAGGACAATCATTCTAGCATGTCAACACTGAACCGGATTAACTTCACAGAGCATTGGCATTAAGAATATGCCTCAAATATTATGCTTCATTAAATGAGACGCATACAAGTACACAGTGCTTGATGGAGAGAGTAAATGGTTTTAATAGCTAAATGAACTAACATGTATGTAGAGTATGTATTCATGTATGCAGGGTGCGATTTGTGAAAAAAGCAGAGGGGGGGATGCTTTTGAAAACTTTTTTCTCTCTCCATAGGTGGAAGGTAAGGGTAAGGCTGTAGCCTAAGTAACCTAATGTTAGTGTAATTTGTTAATAACGCACATCATAAACCCATCTTTTTAGGCAAGTAGGCCTACCATATAATGGGTGTTTTTAATACGACGGGAACTGTATTTAACGTGATCACAATCTATTAAAAACATTGTAAGTTAGGCCTATTAATTGTAATGATTTCATTTCCACGGTTATTCAAGCAACGAATAAATTATATAGAGAAAGCGAGCAAAGAACACAGTATTAACGGAGCTTTTTGAAACTCCGAATCAGTTAAACCATTGAGTCGTAAAATGATTCACTGTTTCGAAGCACTCCAATCGGATCGCGTATTGCAAATCATTTGATTCGGGACTTCAAAGCACGTATCGAGAATCATTTGAGTAAGATCAGGACCTCGAAGCGAGATCGTGGGATGTTTTTATCTCCACCGGGGATAAAAATTATTCAGCAGAGGCAGGGATGCATAAACCAGAGGGGGGGAAATCACCCCAATCTCAGGTGCCAAGTTTGTGTCAATGTAGGGCTGTGCAATTAATCGCATGCGATTGTCATGCGCATCTCATCAGTAAAGCCAGTTCCGTGATTAGTAGTAAATCGCCATCATCTGCTTTCAGATGGAGCGGCATTTAATACACTGAGCCGTAGCTCAGTGACAAGCTAGGCGATATCGCGTTCATAATCGAATGTGATTCATCTGCGATTATGAACGCGATATTGCCTAA